TAAGTCGTCAATTTTAAAACATGTTGATTAATAAGCAATTTTTATTTCAAACCAAATTTCGTGAACAGACTAATCATCAATAGAAAATATGTTCAGAACCTTGAATCGTTAACTAGACATATAGATATTAATAACCGATTTTACATTCAAGAAGTAATTGTATAACAGATAAGTGCGACAAACTTGGATTACTAATTCTATACCCCACCTATGTAACTTATTCTATGTACTTATTTTTCTAAGCATACATTTATTTAATTTAGTTGATTGAGTATATTATCCTACTTAATCTTAAATATCAAAAACAATGCGTAAAAAATAGGCTCGCTCCAAAATAAGTACATGAAAGTTATTCTACGTAGATGGTAGAGGATAAATCGTTATCCTGTATAGTTGGAGATAACTTACTTATTCATATAAATTCATTTTATAATAGATCTTATTAAAAAGTGTAATCAAAATTTTGCTTAACTTTAAATAAAATTTCTTTACGGTTATATAATCAATTTAACGAATAAATTTTGAATGTCCATAGAATTTATTTAATAAATAGTTGAGAAACTTTTGTTCAAATTATAAAGAAAAATTAATACTGGTTTTTTTTTAATTAAATATAGTCGTATGCCGAATACCAAGCTTAATTTTTAATAAATTCATCGAGTCAGTAATTAATTCATTTATATTTTTTTATGAGATAATAAACTTTTCTTTGCTGTTATGTTATCTGGTTCGATTCCTAGCAGTTCAATTAAAGCAAGTGCTTCGCCATAAGAAAAATTTTGTATTGACTATATATTTTGTAAAATCATGTATCTTATTGGTTGAAATTTGGAAGGTCGGAAATCACGTGAACGGAAAATCGATCCTCTGCTCTGGCATTGTTATAAAAAACATTGACCTAGTTGTTTAACCATAGGTCTATATGAATGTTTTTTACAATTAGATGACCAACTACCTTAATGTAGTACCCTAGTCATGGCGAAGAATGATCGTAACAGAAAAATTCTTGAAGTTTATTTATGATCGAGTAATGTTCATCTTAGAGTTAGATTTTAACAGAGTATATGTAAAATCTCTCAAGGAAAATTTTTTGTTAGAGCGCAGAAGGTGGTTTCTTATGAAAAATTTCGAGGAACAGGCGATTTTTGAAAAGTCCCGACGTTTGTTTTGGATTTTTCTGATCGTGTTACGTTATACCAAATCGGGATTCGTTATTGGATAATTTATCGCAGGTCGTCATATGACCAAACATTTTTCGCTGTCAAATGTGTCTCGTGGTGCAAAGTAAATCTTATGAGGTAAATCATTATCAGGAATGGCAATTTATCAACCAAACAAAACGACGGTACGGAACCCTCCCTTATTATATAGAAGATGTGCACTATATTCATTTACCAATTGCGATTTAGATCCGGATCAGAATATGTTGGGTGTGTAATATCCAGTAACTGCTTTATTTAGCAGGTGACAAGATTAACTGTACTGTAATCCTATGACTCTACGGAACATAGTATGATCGTTTCACATGACAAAGTAAAGCTTTAAATCTAATTCACCAGCTTTGGCCCCGGAGGGGCCCAAATTGGTGCATCAAATTCAAGACGAACAGCTAACAACGAAAAGGAAATGCTTTAAATCTAATTCACCAGCTTTGGCCCCGGAGGGGCCCAAATTGATGCATTAAATTCAAGACGGAACATCTAATAACGAAAAGGAAATGCTTTGAATCTAATGCAATACATTATCTAGAATCAGGAGTAAATTGATACAATAAATTTTTAGCGTTCAATTTAGAACATTAAGGCTGTGATAGTTTTTAATGCCTAAAGTTTAATTAGCTTAAAATTTTTCAAAAGTTAATAATTAAAATTTGTTGTAAAAAATTTTATGTGCGTATAAATAATGTGTATAAATAATCCGATGATTTACCGTAACAAACAAGAAGCAAATGATATAGAAATGAGATATAGGATTGTGAACTACGTGAAAACGATACTAAGTAACATTAACGATTATCGATTTCAATTGATACAAAGCTAATACAGTAATAGATATATATTCCTGTGAAAACGTTATACTTTAGTAGTGTGCACATATGTTACTGAATTTGTATTTCTGTCCTAACCCTCTGATAAACGTACGTACGTACGTACGTACAACATAAAAGTACATTAATCCTAGAGAGGAAAGTGATTCAGATGGAAAAGATTGACATGAAAATCTCGTAGGCATCGCAGAGAGAAAAATGGTTAAACAATATTTGATATCAGCAAAGAGTAGTAGTTCCCGGGATAATATGATCATAACTATAGTGCTATAGAAATAGTGTTATGGAAAATAGAGTGAACAACTAAAGTGAAATTAAGGCATCTGAATGATATTTAAAATCAGCAAAAGAGGAGGGAATTCAGTTGGACAGAGTAACATTGGAACGTGCTACAGAAATATTAAGGATGAAGATCCTCATGGGGCACAATGTAGCGTCGGACGCTGTAATGAAAGGGTATATATGTTTGCTATAGATTTAAAGAATGTATTTGAAATAGCTTCACTTCACAGACAAGTCATTTAACCAACATCTCGCAACGTGATAATTTAGCATGTTATTAGTTGTACCTACGTACGTACGTACGTACGTAAGTATATGGGGTTTTTCCTTGAAAATCATCCTCCGACGGGTTAATTCGGATAAAAATAAACCCGAGTATCGGTTCATGTTTATATGTTACAGCTGTTCTCATAAATTCTGGGACATTTGATAAGCCAAATTCGATAAAGGTGTGGCAGATATTACATAATATTAATAAATCTTATATAGGAGGAAGGTGATCATTCTCTGATAAAAATATATTACATAACGATAATATATGCGACTCCCCTAAGTTTTTGAATTCGATATTATCGCATTGGATTTTCGGCATTACAGTAATTCCGATACCGAATTCGACCAAATGATCATCGACCCATATGATTTTTTATCGTTGTTCAAAAAATTTATGAGAATAGCTGTAATCATCTTTTACCTTTATTGATTCAAAAGTTATTCGATAAACTATTAAATCAATAAAAGTAAAAAAGATGATTAACATACCAGTACCCGGGTTTATTTTTGTCCGAATTAAACCCGATCAGTAATGTCGGAAGGTGATTTCTAGGCAAAGACCCCATCTACAATATTGTTAATAAATTGACATGTATTGTATGCCATATAAATGACCTATCGAAAACGATGAGGAAATTCTCGCAGACAACATAATCTCGCATGATATTATATGAAAAGAAAGCATTGGAATTATATCAAAAATCCGCAAAAAGTAAAGTTTTTAAAAGAAATTGCAATCTTAGAAAAAAATTTTATTGATATTCAAAGTCGATAGATGATAAAATTTTATGGAGACATCAATAATAAGCTTTCAATATAACATTATGTAATTACTTACGTTGAATCAATTACCTTGTATCTAATTGATATAACAAGCCAACTTGATTACGTCTAGCCAAACTTTTTCTTATAACAATATTTTCTTATACTGTACCAAATACTTTTTATCAATTATAACTTATAAAATCTTTCTTATATCAAGAAAATTAAGAGTTTTTATATCAAAGGGTTTCTTATATTCAAAGATTTTCTTATATCAAAAGTTTCTTACATAAAATATTCTCACGTCGAGAGCCATTTGTATTAAATCTGTTATTCAAAAGAATATAATTTATTAAGATCATAACGATATATTGTAAGTTTGCCATTTTTGGATCAGATTTCACATTGTGTCAACTCGGAAATACTCCCCGTAAATTCGCACACAATGATTATGTGCATTTTGTTTATATTCATTATAATGTACTTGCTTGTAGTGTAACAAATAATATGGATTCTAGACTGTTCGAATTATCTACACACAGAATAGTGCTTTCAATGTTATCGTAACTAATGTCCATATACGTGAACGTACGTACGTACAAGTTTAATTCTATCGAGATTACAATGGTATATAGTAAAGTAGTACGATATGGAAACGCAAATTAGGACAGACATGTAGAAATCATGATAGCACATACGATTTGTAAAAGAAAAATTCGTCAAATCCATGTTACCTTTACTACTAACCCCAACATGAATGTACGTGCTATCAAAAATTTAGTAGAATTCTCGTATGTCCGTTCTAATCTGTACTGGCGTATAGTAATACTTTACTGAATACCTGGTTAGATACGGTCAGCAGTGGGCTAGTGTAACTACATTATCAACTATACTGAATTGATGCTGTTTTTTTCTACGCCAATTGGTTAGCCCATTTCTAAAAGAGCTTTCTTATTATATCTCAATCTGAATCTAATTTCATGTAGATTGGATTCGGAGATTCCGATAAATCTACGTTCTGCATACGTACGTATTACAACAATGTAACTATTTTAGGTATGAACACGATAAACACGAAAAGAAGTTCCAGTATTTAATTTGATTTAAAAGCTTTAAAGTAATAAAAAAATTCCATTATTCGCTCAAGTTATTTTCTCATTCTGACATCTTTTACAAAATGAATTTTTGGTTTTATTTGATTTTCGGAATTTTTATTTCATCATTCTACTTTTTGCGTAGAATTTATAAACCTCCTGAAGAATTGGATTTCATTCCAACTGTTTCTTTCTTTAAGTTCCTGTTAACTTTGTTTTTTAGTAAAGACCAACAGTATGAACTTCAAAATCTTATTTATAAATCGGATCCCGATAAAATTGGTTTAGTAAAAGTTAGTAATTTTATTTGTCATTAAGCTCTATCACGGTTTATATAAAATTAATCCTTTATTTTTTCGTTATTTTAGCTTTTTTTTGGTTTTGGTTGGGTAGTTACTATAACCGATATTGAACATGCTAAAGTGTTCTTCTCTGAGAGTGGTATATATTATTGTCCTCTTAAATTTTAGATTGCCATTTCTTAAAAGATTTATTTATCTATATCGATAATAATATTATTATATCATGCTATTATTTTTTCGTTAAGCATTATCTCTTCCAAAAGGTGAATTACCTGAAAATAATCCAACAAACATTTTCTTTGGAAAAGGGATGGCAATGTCGAATGGAGATGTAACAATATTTTCATTAAATTTTGAATGATCTTGTTTTAAAATCATTTCTATCCGTTTAATCTGTATCTTCATTTTAAAGCGCTGGTTAAGACAACGAAAAATTGCAACTCCTGCGTTTAATCGTGCACTACGTCCTGAAATGGTTTACGAATGTACTAATGACTTTCTAGGTTTATTAAACAAATGGACGGATACTCCGATAGATACATTCTCATTAATGCAACGTGTCACTATTCAAGTTTTAGGAAAATTGGCTTTCGCATATGATATGAAGGTTTGTATCTATATAATTTATATATAACTTATATAAAATTTATATATAACTTATATATTCTATATAAATTTTTTAAAAATTCTATTTTTACCTGATTTAAAGTCACCAACAAGCCATAATGGTTAAAATTATAATATTAATAATATTTTAAACTAGGTTAAAATAGAATTTCCCAAATTTATTATATATTTTTTTTGTTAACTAACTATAAAAAAAATATTTTTAAACAAAGGCATTAGAGAGCTTAGAGGAACATCCATATTTTTTGAAATCATATAGCCAAATTATGCACAATCTTGCAGAACCTCTTCCTGTACTAATCCCATTTTGGGCTTCACTTCCTCTTAAAAAAAATATTGAACAAGCTTTGTTGATTAAAGAGTTTGACAAATTTTTATTTAAAATGATTGATCAACGAAGGCTTGAAATGTCTAAAGCAAAAAATAAAGA